GCAGAGGAAGAATGCCAGGGGAGGAGCCACAGACAGGTCAGACTCCACCCACTTTTATCCAGACTTGTTTGATGCGACCTGCTGGGTTCCTTATATAGGAAACTTGTTACTGACTGGCTTAATGACCTGACCTGTAGTGTTTACTGTGTGCAGGTCCTTGAGACGACTCTGGTCCTGACTTGGTGCTTTATGAACTCAAATGAATTGTACTGATTAAAAACAGGTCATCTATTTTCTGTTCAGCTGCAGCAGAAAGAAAGCAGTGTGCTACCAACACTATCTATAGTGGGGCTGTGTTGGCTGACGCGGCTCTGCAATATCGCGTGGACATCGGGGGCAGTCCCACTGGACTGGCAGACCAGGGTGGTGGTCCCCTTATTTAAAAAGGGGGACTGCAGGGTGTGTTCCAACTACAGGGGGATCACACTCCTGAGCCTTCCTGGTAAGGTCTATTCAGGGTTCTGGAGAGGAGGGTCCGTCGGATGGTTGAACCTCAGATTCAGGAGGAGCAATGTGGTTTTGGTCCTGGCCGTGGAACACTGGACCAGCTCTATACCCTTAGGGGGATCCTGGAGGGCGCGTGGGAATTTGCCCAACCAGTCTACATGTGTTTTGTGGATCTGGAGAAGGCGTGTGACCGCGTCCCTCAGGGGGCCCTGTGGGGGGTACTCCGGGAGTATGGGGCACCAGGCCCCCTGATACGTGCTGTTAGGTCCCTGTATGACCGACGTCAGAGCTCCTCTAAATCTGAGACCACGGTCTTGATTCGGAAAAGGGTAGAAGGCCTTCTCCGGGTCAGGGATGAGGTCCTGCCCCAAGAGGAGGAGTTTAAGTATCTCGGGGTCGTGTTCACGAGTGAGGGGAAGCTGGAGCGTGAGATCGATAGGTGGATTGGTGCTGCGTCTGCAGTGATGCGGGCGTTGTACCGGTCTGTCGTGGTGAAGAGAGAGCTGAGTCAGAAGGCGAAGCTCTCGATTTACCGGTGGATCTACGTTCCTACCCTCACCTATGGTCATGAGCTTTGGGTAGAGACCGAAAGAACGAGATCACGGATACAAGCGGCTGAAATGAGTTTTCTCCGCTGAGTGTCTGGGCTCTCCCTTAGAGATAGGGTGAGAAGCTCGGTCATTCGGGAGGGGCTCGGAGTAGACCTGCTGCTCCTCCACATCGAGAGGAGCCAGTTGAGGTTCCTCGGGAATCTGGTCAGGATGTGTCTTGGACGCCTCCCTGGTGAGGTTTTCTGACCACGTCCAACCAGGAGGAGACCTAGAGGTAGACCCAGGACACGCTGGGGGGACTATGTCTCTCACCTGGCCAGGGAAGGCCTTGGGATTCCCCCGGAGGAGCTGGCCCAAGTGGCTGGGGAGAGGGAAGTCTGGGCCTCTCAGCTCAGGCTGTTCCCCCCGTGACCTGACTCCGGATAAGCGAAAGAAAATGACATCAGTGACATCACTCACTATCTTAGGGAAGTCCTAAACAGGCCAGTGTGGTAATGAAGCACAGCTGGCACCTTCTACCCTCCCACGGAGCTTCGCCTGTAGTAAAAACTCAGCTCATATCCTGATAGTGGACACCATGGCCAGGCTCATAAACAGGAGGCGGGCCCTTTGGCCCTGGAAGGTGGGTCCTGGTTCTTGGGAATCACTCTACTAGATGTTCTAGATGTTTTCCTGGTCCATGGTTTAGTTTGTAGTTCAGCAGGTCCTCAGGTCATTTTATTGGCCACTGCTTCAGGTCTACCGTTCTGAAGAAGAGGAACACCAAAACTCTGATGGGTGGTGGTCCTCGGTATTGTACTGTTGTACTGAACTGGATCTATCTCAGAGGATCTTTGTGACTAGAACCGACTGTTTTCCAACGTGTCTCATTGCTGGTCCAGACTTGGTGTTCGAGTCTGGGAGGACCGAGTGGTTCTTGCTCGACTGAAGGAGAAACTTCAGACCAAAGATGGGCGACTTGTCCTTCAAGTGGAAAATGAGGAGTGGAAGGTACTGCCCCTCTCGAGATGTAGACAGGTTTTCCTGATCCAGAACCTCTAACTGACCCGTAATTCCTTTTCTCAGTCTTTGCCAGGATGTCTGGCCCAGCTGAGTCAGGTCCAAGAGTGGCAGATCCACCGCGCCGGCCTGCTGAAGATCCCTCATTTCATCTCCAGCTTCCAGAACCTTCTGGTCCTTGATCTTTCTCGTAACACACTGTCTGAGATCCCAGAGCAGATTGGTGAGTCTGACCCAGAGTCAGTACTGACTTCCTCTGATCTGGAGTCAGGTGGTCCTACTCTAGATGAAGTCCAGCTTGAGTCAGGTCCATCTGCCTTTCTGAGCTGATCCCGTTTGTCTGAGACCACCGTGTCTAAGCCCTCTCGTCTCTTGGTCTAAGGGAAACTGACCCGGCTCAGAGAACTGATGCTGAGCTGCAACAGAATCCAGTTTGTTCCTGCCGAGCTGAGTGGATGTGAGAGTCTGGAGCGACTGGACCTGGCCATGAATCGGGACCTTAATGAGCTCCCAGATCAGGTACCAGCCCTACCAGAACCCTGAATCGGGGACCAGATCCAGATCTGATCTGAAGCATTGGCTGCTTTCACACCTGGGCCGGCTCCAGCCCGCCCAGGTGTGCTGAAACGTGTTCACGTCTGGGGGGTCTGGTGCTAACCGGTCGTTTTTCCAGACCTCTTCCGCGGCTGCTTCGGGCTGAACCGGGCCTGGGCGATGTGTCAAAAAGAAGGATCGTGATATATTTTCCATGTGGTTCGATCTCGATTTTAACGACCGTTTATTTTGATGTTGTCAGTTTAAAGCAGCTTCAGACGTATAAACACAGAAAGTAGATGTTAGCTGAACCTTTTACTGACCTTCTGTGTCTTTAATGATGAACAGGTACAAAACAAACACGCGGCTCTGGGAAACGACCCACAGCTACCGGCGCTTAACCCTAACTATACACTTGAGCTACTTCAAACTACGGTAAGCAAATATAGAATATAAAAATTAGCTGTGCAGAATTGTCAGATCAAATACTTTCATGCTAACAGTCACACAGCTAAAGATCGAAGTTTCAGGCTGAACGTCAGGTTTTCCGCCGGTGCTCATTACTGACGACGACGCTCGTGTGTGACCAGACGTGGAAGCAGCAAAGCGCTTTTTGAGCTGGAGATGTGGCTTCTGCTGAGGTAGCTGGTCTGGACTGGGAAGTCTTCCATTCGTCCAACATCTGAGACACAGCGCTGACCTTTAAAGCCTCTGTTTTGTCAGCCTGGATGTAGTTGGTCTTGAAGCGAGGGTCAACAAGGGTTGCCATGCTCAGGAGGTCATCAGTGACATCATCATCATATTTTTCATTTAAGTAGCAGGTGACTGAGTTCTTGATGGCCTTGCTAAGTTGTGTGTCAGCATCACCTGGCTGTAAGACCTCTTCGTTAAAGAGCTGAAGGACGGGTTTCACACCAGAGACACTGACATGTGCTTCTCCAGAAAGGGCGTCAGTAAAGTCAACCAGGGGACTTGGGCCTTGTGGACAGACTCTAGAACATCTATGTCCTGCCACGAAGGAATCGGGTGCCTGACAAAACCTTTGCAATGGCCTTCTCCTGCTCCAGAACCCTTGCAGTCATTGCATGACGCGACCCCCACCTGGTGGGGGTTCTGTGATCAACGTGAGCTTTGGCAGGTGAACTTCATCCTGGGCCGCTGCTGGAGTAAGAAAAAGCACTGACCAGTTTTTGGACACACCAACAGCTCTCTCAGTCCTCCCGTCTTTCCTGCTTCCACCTGAGAAAAATATTAGATAACTTAACAAATCTGAATATTACTAGAACTGACATAGAGACTGCAACATGCAAAACCTACAAACTCCATAAAACAACTGTAGTTTGCATTTTTTTCAGAATCTATTAATCAAGGATAACCAGAAACTGGGTCCAGCGTCAGATAGACAGCAACAAGCGTTCAGCTGATCCAGAATGGTACGGCAAGAGTCCTGATGAATATGTGTAACCTTTAGGGCCCTGTGTCCACGTGCACTATAAAGGGTTATAATCTTCACCTTAGACCTGTTTGTTATTGTTTATAGACACATGATATTGACTATGTTAGCATTTTTTGTTTTCTTTCTTTTTTATAGGAAATTTGACAAATTCTTTATTTAAAGAAGTTTTATTTATTTTAATATTTGTAATTTTGTTTCCGTGAATGAGAGTAGACTACTCTGTAATAGTTTGATATATTTTTTCTTTAACATCACATCAAATACAGGTTCAGGTCTCAGGAGGCTAACATTTCTCCTGTTGTAGCTTTGCTTATTGCCTCCCTCTTAAATGTAATTATAAGATCCTCCTAATATTTAAAGCTCTAAAAACACATTTTCTGTTTGCATTGTTAGTTATATTAATGTAGAACAATGTTCTTGATATTTACTTACCTATAGCGGCGTGCAGCCGGTGAAGCCGAGTCCATCCTTGGAGAGCAACAGCTTTAACTATGTTGGCTCCGTTATCCGTTGTGATGCACACCTGGCGGTCTTTGCTCAGGTTCCATGATTCCAGTGCGTCCTCCAGCCCCCGACTGATGATTTCAGCTGTGTGCTCCTCTGGAAAATATGCTGTCTGCAGGCATGTGCTTTGAAGAGTCCACTCCTTGTCCATGTAGTGTACTGTTAGACTCAAATGTGGCTCAGACGAACGACTGGACCAAAGGTCAGCGGTAGTTGCAAAGAATGAAACATCTCTGAGCTCCGTCTCTAGCTTTTCTCTGCGTTCGTCATACAGCTGTGGCAGTGCCGTTTGAGAAAAGTACTTTCGTACCTCTGGTCCAGCGCTTTGATTAAATGCTTAAGTCCTTCTTTCTCTACTGTGTTCAGAGGCATCGTGTCTTCTGCGATACAAAAACTTAAAGCTGTTGCGATGCCTTTGCTTCTCTTTGAGTTCTGCTCGTACGGTGCAACAGCTGAAAACGACGAGAGGATTGATGGCTGGTCTGGTTGTGCAGCTGCACCGCCAGTGCCGGCTGGACCACTGCTAGCAGCCGCGCTAGTGCTAAGTCTGCTTTGAGACGAGCTAACAAGTTGTCCGGACTCTGCTCGCATTTCCACGCTCTCTGTATAATCACTTGGGTGGTATTTCTTTAGATGGTGAAACAGATTCGTAGAGTTGCCGGTCCGGTTCCTCGTAGTGAATGGGGTTCACTTCTCACAGACGCCTCCCCAGTGGCACAAGCACTGGCCGTCCCTGATCGTTTACGGAGCGGAGACAGACTAAAGTGATGGATGATGATGCGGACACTGAGGACCGTGCCAAAACTGTTTACAGGAACGATGTCTTTTTGTTGCTCTGGATCGCATCATCAGCGCGCTGGATGCAGCGTTCCAGACTACAGCAAACATCTGCACCGGTTCTGAAGCGGACAAGTATGACAGAAGCTCAGATACAAACAGCATGCAGGCATTAACAAAAACATGCCGCTCAGATCTCTCAGCAGAATGTGAAAATGAAGAGCTGCACTTCAACACAGCATATGATTCCCAAAGAGTCTGTCCCTGCTGCAGCTCCCTCATGCGGTGTGGAAGATGCAGCTACAGAGCATTTCTGCACTCTCCCAGTGACAGTCGCTGGGTGAACGGGCCTTCAGCAGTGGAAGCTGGTTAAAACTACCTGAGATCAACCGCAGCCTTGCCATCCTGTCGCTAGGAAGCTAACTAGCCAAACAAGCTAACTGTTCTGATGTCGTGAGTGAGACAAAAGCGTCGGTGGGCATCCACTGCGATGTAAATACATATGTGCATCTTCTGTCCTTAAGGCTGTCTACATGATAATAACCAGACGCCAGGGTTAGTCATTTTTATTTTCACATTGCATAAAAACAACAAATCTCATTTCCACCGAGCTGCTCCTTACAGAAGCCTGAATCGTCTCCTGTTTAACAATAAATATGATCGAATCACTTTTGCACGTGTCAGGGTTCCTGCATGAACTAGATGGAGCTTAAAGGGATAGCCCACCCCTTTGTGTGTGTCATGTGACCCAGAGTTAGCGTGTTGTGACCCGTCACGCTCCTGGTCTGGCTTTAGTTTAGCGTAAACGTGTAAGTGAACGTGAACAACAAGCCTTTCGTAGATGCTTCTGATCACTTATCTAACTCTGGGTCACATGACAACAGACACACCTGTACTTATGGGTGGAGCATCCCTCTAGGTAGAGAGAAATAGCTGCACAAACCACATATAACTGGTCGTTGAATAGAACCTTATTTATTTATTTACGTTTACAAATAGAACCACTTTTATGTTCCCGTGCTGAATGGGCCCAGCGACACTGAGAGTGTACCGGGCCCAGAACCGGGTGCTACGCCCCTGCCTGAGGTGACCTGCTCTCTTACCTCCAGCTGAGGAACCTGACCCGGCTGCAGCACCTGGATCTGTCCATGAACGACTTCAGCGTCCTGCCTGCATGTGTGGTCTCGCTGCCGGCGCTCCGGTGGCTGGATGTGGGCGGGAACCGTCTGCAGCATCTACCTGAGGACATCCACAGGTAGGAGACAGTGGAACAGCAGAGCTCCAGCTTACACCTACAGGCAGGAAGTGACAGCGAGGTGCACCACAGTGTATCGTTCACCCATTCACACCCTGGTGGTGATGAGCTACGATGTAGCCACAGCTGCCTGGGGCGCGATAACTAAAACAAAGACGGCTAAAACCAAATAAAGTCATTCGGAGCGTAGGTCAGCCTGTTGTCCCTTAAGGACAGCGGGAGCTCCGGACCTGCTACCAACAGCAAGGTGTTGTCTCAGGATGGAGAGTCTGCACACGCTGTGGCTGCAGAGGAACCAGCTGGAGAAGATCCCGGATAACATCAGCAGGATGGAGAGTCTGGACACGCTGGTCCTCAGCGGCAACAGGCTGAGGGACATCCCAGCACTGATGGAGGGCATGTCCAACCTCAGGTCAGTTTGTCTTTTGTCTCGTCTGTCCACAAGTAGACGTGTTCTGTCATGACTCCTGGCTCTGTTCTGGACTAGGTTTGTGAATTTCCGAGACAACCCTCTGGCTCTGGACTTGACTCTGTATCCAAAGATCCCAGCTGAGGACGGAGAAGACGAAGAGGACAGGGAAATGTTTGGACGAGAGTTCATGCAAATGTACATCCGGGTGAGCAGAGAGAGGGCGCATGCTGCGCTGAACGAGCACCGAGTGACCCAGTAAGACGGTTCTGTGGATGGAGATGTGTCCTCAGTCTGAACTCAACCCCTGGTGTCCAAAATCACAGCTCCATCAGTCCCTAGTCCTCCCCAGCCTCCGTCAGGGAGGTAGCAGCACATCTCCGATCGCCGTGGAAGCAGGAGGGGTGCCACAACACGCCTGGGACAATTACTGCACTAACTGATGGGGAATAAGTAGTTTAGAAATGTTCCCACGGCCGACACGCCCCTGCAGCACCGCTGTAGTTCTGGTGCAACACGTGTGTTATTGGTTTTAATGATGAAGGCACCGGATACCTCCTGCTGTCAGGATTTGATCTAACGGAGCCTGCACTGGGCTGGGTTAGAAACCCGTCTAACAATAATAGATCTGTAAAGTCTTCGACCACGTCCTCCGCTCTCCGTCGACCTCTCCCTTCTTCCATGCTTGCAAAGTTCTGATTGGCTTAAGTGAGTCTTGTAGCTGTGATTGGTGTTCTGTTGTGTCCAGTATTTTCAATTACCCAGCGTGTTTGTATGTTGAATTGATGTGTGAGTGGTGTGGTGTAAGCTAGATGTTTATCAGAGTCTTTGTATCTGAAAGAAATTGTGAAATCTGGGAGTAAAAGAATTAGTTGTCTGCTGTAAACTAGAGAGTTGATTATTAATAAAACAGCTTCAGACACAATCTGCTGTGTGTACAAACCCTGGTGGAGACCCCAGCAAGTCTGGACTGTCAGAAGTCGGGTGGACCTCACAGCACCGGGATTTCGTAGATTAAACTCTGACATGACCCGTCCAGTCTTGAGATGTCTCCGGGTCACAACAGTAGCTGGAATGCTTGTCTGCGTCCAAAGTGGGTGTGGCTCTTGGGGAGCCGTCTGGCTGTGTCAGGTTGCAGCGTGCAGACAGGCTGGCTGTCTGTCAAAGAGATGTTTCAAAAGAGGCTTCTTTCCCGACTTGGCCGGATCGGGTTCAGCTGGAAACTGAATTTATCGGGAAGTAATTCCTGTTTATTAAACTACTTTGTTATGATTTCCAGCCAATTCTGGCAAATCAGAATGTGCCATGTCTGGAAGGCTTCACCAGAACATCCCTCAGAAAGGGTTAGGGTTAGCCTTCCTTCAGATGCAAGCTGCTGACTCTTTAAACGTTACGAGAGGTGACCCTTAACCTTAACTCGTGTCTTATAAACGTGAGTATGAGTGTAGACAATGATAAACTTGTTAAGCCAACACATACTGATGTGTGATATAAATGGATCGTTGTAAGAACAATATTCATTTATAATTCATTGATTTAAGCACAGATTATTCAAACATTTCATTTAAACATCTTGTTCATTCATTCATGATTATTTAACTTTTGAGTTGTAAATGTTCCCTTTTTATTCAGAGTGAGGAATCCGGCCGTCTGAGATGAGAGCGGAAAGGCCTTTTGCGTCTGGTGAGACCTTGGCACTTTATTTGTGTCTGTGGGTTAGGGTTAAGAACAATAACTGAGCTGAAGGTTGATTGGTGCGTCTGGATCCTCCAGCGGGCGTAACCTTGACTTGGCAGCTCTGGCGTGACCCAAAGGTTCTGCTGTGTCAGTTCGATGGTGGACATGGACCCTTTTGATTCATCAGTGTGAGAACAACCGAGTTATGATCCTCTGGTTTAAGCATGTCTACGGTGTTCAAGCAATGGGCAAAAACTGTAATATGGAACGTCACATCTTATTGGTCATTTAATAAATGCAGCTAATCCTCACTGCTACAGGGAGGCTCCTCTCCATTAAAGAGAACCAAATCTGAACAAGAACAGTCTCTGATTGGATGTTTAGAGACTTTAGAACACAGCAGCAGACTGATGAGAGAGTTCATAAAAACTTCACATTAACACTTTTATAACAGGAATGCTTTAAAACACCTGCAATCTAGACTCAGAGAGACATTAGGATTCAGAGGGGACAGCGGTGAGTAGCACATTCTCCAGAGTGACCCCTGTGTCCACGTAACCAATCAGCTTGGTGCTGAGGCCTCTGGTCTGCAGGAAGTGGCACCTCCCACCATCGATCAGCAGTTTGCATAGACGACCCAGCTGCTGTCGCTTGGCTGCTGTCAGGAAGCTGCACGAACAAAGATGGACGCTTTTAGTGGGACATCTTTTGCTGATGACAACATCACATCTCACCCTACATTTTATTTAAAAGCACTGTTCACAACAGCAAAGGTGGCTTTACAACAACAAACATCAAATAGTGATAAAAGCTTGTCTGAACAGAGTCAGTGGGAGAATAAATGATGCAGAAGTCAGGAGGGAGAGGATTTCACAGGTGGGCGCTGGACAGCGTAACAGTGTCGCTGCCATATTGGATGTGTCTACAGAGATTGTAACCTAGCAGAAAAAGGTAAATGATGAAAACAAGTGGCCCCAGGACCGAGCCCTGCGGCACACCAGCAGAGGCAGGAAGGATCTGGATTTACACGACTTCAGTTGAACATACTGTGTACAGCTAGGGTTGGGCATCGAGCATCGACTGGAAACGGTTCCAACTGCTAGTTTCCCCCGAAATCCTTCAAATTTTCTTATTTCAATTCCTAGTTTTGATTCCTAGAATGCCGATGGAAGAGGAATCCGCGGCCGATCTCAGTGAAAATAAACGTGATCTTCAGATCTGATTCTGCAGACGAGCGCCCACTCGTTCCAAATCAAACGGAGCCCAACCCCGTGTACAGCCGGAGAAAGACAGAAGAAATGATCTTTAACGTAGCACCTCTCAAGATAAACGGCCTGTATTTGTATAGCGCCTCCGTAGGGCTCCACAACCCCCCCAGGCGCACAGGCGCCACCGGTCCCACCAACCACTTGCCCAAGGCAAGGACACAACAGCAGCACTCTCTAGTCAGATCCGGGATTTAACCTGCAACCTTCCGATTACTGGACAACCCAACAAAGAAAAAAATAAAATAAAAAAGATTTTTTAAATGATTTAAAAAACATCAAAATGAGAAAAATAAACAATTGTGATAAAAAATATAGAGAAAATAAATAAGAAAGAGAGAAATGAGCAGAACAAGGAGAGGGAGGTGATGGAGGTCCCACCAAACCTGAACAGGTGAGTTTAAAGGAGACCACTGAGTCCACTGGTCTTGGACTTTTTCAGACTAGGAACCATCTTCAGCAGAAGGGCTTCCACAGGGACAATAAAGGTGGTACACCTCTGAGGTGTAATTTCACCAGAGAGCATGGAGTTCTGAGTCAGCCGTTCAGTAACTGCAGAACTACACACATCCACCAGATCAGAGGCCGCCGGTAAGATGAGTTTATAATAATCTGCTGGTTCAGCAGGTAAATAAGGAACCTGACCTGAGTGTTTGCTTGCCTAGGCGTGGCCCAAACAACTGAGACTGTTGATTTGTTTGGTATGATCACAACACTGTTTGTGGTCATTTGCCAGTCAGGAAGATAATGACTTTATTTTGAATCTGAAAACGGTTTCAGCAAGTTGTTTGTTGCAGTTTTCTCAATATTTCATTTGGTGATGACTCTGCTCCCTAGATGGTTGGTTCGTTTTTGGGTTCTGCGATGAGCTTCAGTGGAAGATGAATTATAAACGATAATAATGAATAGATTATATTTTTCTAAGGGAACTCTTTGATGTTTGACACAGTTTAAAAGGCAATGCGAAAATAATCATGAAAAACTTCATTAAATCTAATTTAAGGTTATATGTCTGCTTGACTGAAGGTTTTTCACCTGACCTCACCTGACCTCACCTGACCTCACCTGACCTCAGCTGACCTCACCTGACCTCAGCTGACCTCAGCTGACCTCAGCTGACCTGAGATGCTGAAAATAAACATAAAAGCAAAAAGTGAAGCACTGTTTGGGTCTCGGAGTGAAATCCAGTTTCTAAACTCTGGGCGGGTGTTCGTCCCTCTCAAGTGGGGAAGCGCAAAACAGTGCTGGACTTAACGGGGAGAGAGGTCCAGAGTCTGGGGGCCACAGCAGCAGATGATCTGTCACCTTTGACCTTTAGCCTGGTGCTGCACAACCAGTAGGCTTTGGTCACTGGACCTCAGGGACCTGCTGGGGGTGTAGGGACTAAGAAGATCACCAATGTAAGATGGTGCTTGTCCATGTAAGGCCCTATAGACCAGAACCAGGATCTTGAAATGAACCCTGAAGTTGACTGGCAGCCAGTGAAGCTGGAGGAGAAGCGGGGTGATGAGAAATTAAGGTAAAAACTTCCATTAGCATGTGAATGTGTGTATGGATGAATGACTGTTGTGTTGTAAATCACCTTGGGGGGTTGGAGAACCCTAGAAAGTGCTAAACTAATTCCAGGTTGTTTGAGTTTCATAGCAAAGCCAGAGGAGCGGCAGGTCTCTTGATGAGGTGTAGTCTACTGCAGCGTTACAGAAAGGAGCTGACCCGCCTCGAGCAGCAGCCGGGCTTTCTGAACCGCCTTTATTCTAGACTATCAGGTTGACCTTTAACCCTCTGGAGGCAGGCAAGTTAAAACCTACCTACCTGGTTACTCCACATACGTATTTCATGAGCATTTTCAACTCAGAAGTTCCCCTGAAGGACTTAGTAGTTCGTCCTTTTATCAGAACCTATCCTGGGCCTGAGAGTTAAAACAGAACTGAGCCGTTTGTAGGAGAAACAAGCTTTTATAGAGCCTCTCAAGATAAAAGCACCGAGTCAGGACCAGAGTCGTCTCAAGGACCTGCACACAACACAGGTCAGGTCATTCAGCCAATCAGTAACAAGTTTCCTATATAAGGAGCCCAGCAGGTCGCATCGAGTCACTGACTAGTGTCAGAGTCTTTACAGCAATCCTCATACTAAGCAAGCATGCAGCGACAGTGGAGAGGAAAACTCCCTTTTAACAGGAAGAAACCTCCAGAGAATCCTGGCTCAGTATAAGCAGCCATCCTCCACGACTCTCTCTCTCTCTCACTCACACACACACACACACACACACACACACACACACACACACACACACACACACACACACACACACACACACACACACACACACACACACACACACACACACACGCACACACACCCCTTAGTAAATATTCTATTAGGTGAGAGATAAACTTTATTGTATTTATCCTAGTGGATCTATAATTAAACGGGTAAACTAGTAGTAGCACATCCAACGTCAAAGAGAGTAAAAAGTTATTATCAGGAGAGGGAGAATGTTTAAGTGGTTAGCAGCAGTGTGCTAGACGATGGCCCCCTCCATGAGGCCACCACAGCTCAACAGAACATCGTTGTAGCTTCTTCTGGGGAGAAAAACACTTAGAGAGAAAATAAAGTTAACAGCTGAAATAGCAGGAAATAATACAGTTAAAGAGCAGCATGAAGCATTACCAAACCTACGATTTAATCAGTGGACTTTCAGCCTGCAAAGGTTAAAGGTTACCTGCTAACAGCATCTGTCTCCTCGACTGGTTGGTGGGCATCGTCCTCTCCTCTCTGATTGGAGGGATTCTGTGACGGAGGCTCCTGATTGGCTGGCCTGAGCCCACATGTGGCCCAGCTAGACATGCGGCAGAAGGAGGAGAATTCTGCAGGTCCAAGTCCTTTCTGCTGGAAGAACTCCTGGCCCACATAGTGACGCCACTCACAGCGATGGTGGCAGCACAGTGCTACGGCTAACCCAAGCAGTGGGCGGGGCCAGGGGGTGAGGCTGGGGTCTTGGATCGCCTCATCAGCTGGTTTGGAGCGTTTCGAAGCTGGTCGGGTTTCGTCTCCAGCTCCAGCCGTTCCCAACAGGCAGCGTAAAGCCAGGTCTGCAGACAGAACCGGGCCCGTGGTCAGGGTACCGACCGAACATGTTTTATTCCACATCAGCAGGGTGACGGAGATCCCGCCCCTCTAACGCCCCCAGGGCACGTTGCAACACGAGGCCTAATGAAGTAAAACACCACCTTCTGTTTAGAGACGACAGTCGGGTCTGGGCGGAGCCACAGCTCTGTTTAACTAGTCCAAGTTACAGGTAGGTTCTGGAGGTTACTCACCTGTTGCTGCTCCACACACATGCTTTCCCACGCCGACCAATGGGAGCTGCTTCTGCTGCAGCAGAGGAACTCTACCTGGAAACAGATCTGGGTTAAACCCTCACACACACCTGGACTAGGACCGAGTCCAGCTGCTGGTGACTTACTGAGGTCCAGGTGCTGAATATCCACCTGCAGCCTCTCAAACTCCAGTCCAGCATCCTGGTGTTTCCCATCCACCTGCAACAGATGATGGCTGTGTGACAGGTTGGGGTTGATGAGTGACCTGCACAGGTGTGGCACCTGTCAAGGACACGATGACCAAGAAGGACGGAGCCAGGGTTTGAACCAGAAACCACTCGTCCCCTGTGGTTCTGCACCAGTCTGGCTGTGCTCTTGACTCATCCATCCATTACTGTATTTATCTGGAGTCGGGTCGGGGGGGCAGCAACCTAAGCCAACCTACCAGCCACTAGGAACAGCTGCTCCGGGGAATCCCAAGGCCTTCCCTGTCCAGCTGAGAGACGTAGTCCCTCCAGCGTGTCCTGGGTCTACCTTTAGGTCTTCATACAGTTTAATGTCACCAGGGAGGCGTCCAGGAGGCGTCCTGACCAGATGCCCGAGCCACCTCAACTGGCTCCTCGATGTGGAGGAGCAGCGGGCCACCCTATCTCCCAGGGAGAGCCAGCCACCCTGTGGAGAAAACTCATTTCGGCCGCTTGTGTCAGCGATCTCGTTCTTTCGATCACCGCCCAGAGCTCATGAGCATCGGTGAGGGCAGGAACGTAGATCCACCGCCAAATCGAGAGCTAGATCCAAACAACGCCCGCATCACTGCAGACGCAGCACCGATCCTGTCGATCTCACGCTCCAGCTTCCCCTCGCTCGTGAACAAGACCCCGAGATACTTAAACTCCTCCACTTGGGGCAGGACCTCGTCCCTGACCCGGAGAAGGCCTTCTACCCTTTTCCGGGTCAGGGACCATGGTCTCAGATTTAGAGGAGCTGGTTCTCTTTGTGAGCTTGGGCCGCACGGCCGGCAGTAAGTTGAAGCTGTTCCCAGTGAGGGCTGGGTTCCACCAGCGCTGCCCTTTGGTTCTGTTCAGCACCTTCATGGACAGAACCTCTAGGTGCAGCTACGGTGGTGAGGAGTTTGGTGGCAGGAGAATCTGGTCTCTGCTGTTTGTGGATGATGTGGTCCTCCTGGGTCCAGCTCTGGCTGGGTGGGTTCGCTGCAGTGTGAAGTGGCTGGGATGAGGATCAGCACCTCCAAATACGAGACACGGTTCTCGACCGGAAAACGGTGGCTGGCTTCTCCGGTTTGGGAGAGAGGTCCCGCCTCACGTTTAGGAAGAGTTCAATGGGATATCATCCCCTAACCAGCCCAGTCGCTCCCCTGACCCGGCTGTACTCCCTCATCTGCAGCTTAGCAAGAAACAGTCGGCTCAACTAGAGATGTGACGTCCCCAGTAGTGATCTCAGCTCTGCTTGGTGCTCTACTAATCACACACACACACACACACACACACACACACACACACACACACACACACACCACACACCACATACACACACACACACACACACCCACACACACACACACACACACACACACACACCACACACACACACACACACACACACACACACACACACCACACACCACACACACACACCACACACACACACACACACACACACACACACACACACACACACATACAGACACATACACACACACACACACACCACACACCACACACCACACACCACACACACACACACACACACACACACACACACACACACACACACACACACACACACACCACACACCACACACACACACACACACACACACACACACACACCACACACCACACACCACACACACACACACACACACACACACACACACACACACACCACACACCACACACACACACACACACACACACACACACACACACACACACACACACCACACACCACACACACACACCACACACACACACCACACACCACACACACACACACACACACCACACACACCACACACACACACACACACACACACACACACACCACACACACACACACACACACACACACGCCGCATACGCACACACACACACACACACACACACACACACACACACACACGCCGCATACGCACACACACACACACACACACACACACGCCGCATACACATACACACACACACACATACACACACACACATACACACACACACATACACACACACACATACACACACACACACATACACACACACACATACACACACACACATGCACATGGACGTCATTTTCGCTTTAGAAGTAAGGTGACACTGGGGTGGGGGGGGTTGGGGGGGCTAAGCAGGCTTCAACACAAACGGTTGTTTTCCGCTTGGCCCTAGAGCTCAACCAGTGTCAGTTTAATGTAGCGTAATGTTGGTTTTGGATGGTAAAACGTGCAGGGGTCAAAACCTGACTTTGGAAAAAGTAGGAAGACATGCCCCCCCCCCCCCCCCCCCCCCCCCAAATTACATCCATGCACATGCACACACACACATACAAACACACACACACACACACACACACACACACAAACACACACACACACACACACACACACACACACACACACACACACACACACACACACACACAAACACACACACACACACACACACACACACACACACACATATGCATACACACACACAAACACACACACACACACACACACACACACACACACACACACACACACAAACACAGACACACACACACATTTCCGTCCCTCGGATTTATATGTGAACACTACACCGCCCATTCATGACCGAACTCACGCCGTCCAACCCCACCAGACCCCGACCGAGCAGACGCTAACGTGTAACCTCTTATGATGAATGATATAAATGGAAACCGTGTTCCCTCGCTCGGACGTGGGTCACCGGGGCCCCCCTCTGGAGCCAGGCCTGGAGGTGGGGCGCATCGGCAAGCACCTGGTGGCTGGGCTTTCACTCATAGAGCCTGGTCGGGCACAGCCCCAAGAGGAAATGTGGCTTCCCCTTCCCAAGGGCTCACCAATTGTGGGAGGGGCCAAAGGGGTGGGGTGCAATGTGGAATGGGTGGTGGCAAAAGACATTGACCTTTGTGGTCTGATCTTCGGCTACAGAAGCTGACTCTCGGTACGTGGAATGTCACCTCCCTGGTGGGGAAGGAGCCTGAGTTGGTGTGATGGTGTGCTGGGGGACTTTAACGCTCATGTGGGCAACGACAGCAAGACCTGGTTTGTGTCGTACCTGGCTGACAGAACCTTCAGTGTCTCATTGGAGAGGTGTGGTGGGGAGAAACAACCCCCACAAGTGCTGCCAGAGTATGACAGCTTGCTTATTTTAGGTGATTTTAATATTCATACTTGGTGCCCTGACAAACAATGGTGAATTAATTCTGATGAGCTGTGGACTCTTGTGATTTGGTGCAGTGTGTTTGTGACCCGACCCAGGAACATGGACACACTCTTGACCTGGTGCTAAAGTGACAGTGTGTGTTTTTCCTGGCGATAGGGGGCAGTAGATACCTGAATCGTTGCAAGCAAGCAGTATTTCTGTGTTGGAGTAAGACCTTACCAACGGATGCCCATTAGGGTCAAAAAGCCCTGGCGAGAGGAAAATTTAGCAAAAATAACAAGCACATCAGACTCCCACTTATCACTGGCAACTAGTGATGAGGTCGTTACACTCTAGGCTGCCCTGGACCTGATCGGAGCCATGGCTGAACAACGGTGGAAGGAGGATAGGTTACTGACCTTTCCTCAGGTGTTGAGACGGTCTTCGTGACCATCAGGAGGCAGTGAGAGATGCTAGGAGGGTGTATTTCTCAAACGTGATACTCTTGGCGCATCACAGGCAACGGATGCTTTTCAGTGTAATTGATAATATTCTCAGTATTCACCAACCAGTGGGTACTGAGCCCTCCGTGATGTCTTGCGAAGCATTTTTGAGGATTTTTGTGGACAAAATCGTAATGTCAGTCCCCTGTCAGACTCAGCTGGAGCCGCTTACGTTGGACTACCTTTGGGATTTTGTTAACTGTAAAACCTGGTTCTCGCTTGGATTTGATACCCCCTAGGCTTTTTAAAAGACTGAGTATTTGATGAGAAATAACATTTTGGAAAAATTCCTGTCTGGTTTTAAGCCAGTCCACAGTACGGAATTGGCTATGCTCCGGGGTTTTTAATGACATTTTATTGGCAGCTGATCCCGGTGACTTTGTTATTTTGGTATCGTTGGACCTTTCAGCTGCATTCGATACTGTGGATAACTCTATCCGGATTTCTAGGATGGAACACTTTGTGGGTGTTCACGGGTCGTGCAGGATTGGTTTGTGTCGTACCTGGCTGACAGAACCTTCAGTGTCTCATTGGGGGATTTTACTTCCTCTAATGCCTCATTCTCTTGTGGGGTTCCCCAGGGTTCTGTGTTAGGCCCATTAATGTTTTCACTGTATCGGCTACCTCTTGGTTCAATTTTTAAGAAACATGGGTATTTTCACTGCTATGCCGTTGATACCCAGGTATACGTGCCTTTTAAGAGGGGCCACAATCATGCTTTGCGGTCTCTGTTGGATTGTCTCGTTGAGGTTAGGCAATGAATGTTCTCTAACTTTCTTCTTTTTAATGATTAAACGACAGAGGTTGTAGTTTTTGGTACAAGTACTTTGTCTAGGGTGGGTGCAGTGGACCTCGGTCAGGTCGTCCCATTCTTGTAACGGAGTGTGACTTCCCTGGGTGTTGTGCTGGATGAGGATCTTGTCTTGGACAGGCAGATCTGTGTGGTGACTAAATCTAGTTTTCATCCATTAAGAAGGATCGTCAAAGTAAAGAACTTGTTGTCAAAAAAGGATTTAGAAACAGTAATTCATGCTTTCATTACATCAAGGCTTGATTACTGTAATACTTTGTACCTGTGTGTTTCACAATCCCACCTCTCACGTCTTCGGTTGGTGCAGAATGCTGCTGCACGGCTGCTCACTGGGACAAAAAGATGGAGCATGTTACTCCTGTCCTGGCCTCCCTGCACTGGCTGCCTGTTTGTTTTAGAATCCAGTACAAGGTGCTTTTATGGACGTTTAAATGTCTGCATGGCCTTGCTCCAGAGTACTTCTCTGAGATACTGGTTCTTCACTCCCCTGCACGGTCTCTGAGGTCGGCTGATAGGATGCTCCAGGGCTTTCTCTGTAGCGGCCCCTAGGCTCAGGAATGCTCTACCTTTGAGCGTTAGGTCGGCCTATTCACTGTCTGGTTTAAAATCTCTTTTGAAAACCTATTTTTATGATTTGGCTTTTAACTCGGCATGAGTCTTTTCAGAGTTCGTTCTTAAGCTTTGGTTTTTATGCATTTTTATGTTGTGTATTGTTTTTAATGTTTTCTCTTCTGTGAAGCACTCTGGTCGGTGTTATGCCGTTGTAAGCTGCCATATAAATAAAGCTGCCTTGCCTTGATCTGAATTGGAGTGGTGTTTTGTTATTGGACTTCCGTTCTCATCATGGATTGTCCATAATGAACACCATGTTCAGACATAAAGGTGTCCATATTTGTTCTTCACAACACAATCAGTCCTTCACCCATTCACACACACACACACATTTACACCCTAGTGGGGATGAGCTACATTGTAGCCGCAGCTGCCCTGGGGCACACTGACAGAGGAGAGACTGCCTAGCACAGGCACCACCGGTCTCTGATCACCACCAGCAGGCAAGGGATGTTAGGCGTCTTGCCGAAGGACACAATGACAGCGACAAACTGAGCGGGGCTCGAACCTGCACCCTTTCGATTAAGGGGCGAGCTCTTAACTCCTGTGCCACCGTCACCCCGATGATTGACTTTGTAGTTGTCTCATCTGATCTGCTTTAGGTAGTGACTGAAAGAACAAGCATGCGAATATATGCGGTTGAAGTGAGTTTTCTCCGGAGGGTGGCCAGGCTCAGCCTTACTGGTAGGGTGAGGAGCTCGGACGTTTGGGAGGGAGTACAGCCGCTGCTCCTCCACATCAAGAGGAGCCAGCTGAGGTGGTTTGGGCATCTTGTCACCTGGACGCTTTCCTGGGGTGGTGCTTTGGGCATGTCCTGCCAGCAGGAGGCCCCCGGGTCGACCCAGGACACAGAACTGCAGTCAAAGTTCAGCAGGACCAGACAGGAACCAGTAACACTATTCAATAAGGGTCCTGTTATTAACATTACTCAGTGCATTATTAAGCATTTATAAACTATTAAATAAAGTATTAACAACTGCTTAATTATGTAATGCATTACTAAACAGACATCCTGCCTGGCCCTTTTTACTCACCTTAAAGACACTTAATAGTTATAAATGGGAACATTAAGTGACTCTTTGTTTATTAATGCTTAAATATGCACAAAGTAATGTTACTAAATGAACCCTTATTGTTAAGTGTTACATGGACCTAACAACCCATATCATTAGCACTTTGAGATTACCTCTGTAATGTAAAGTGCATTATAAATAAAATGTATTATTATTATATCAAAGAGCCTGGTACCCCAAAATCCCAAAGTACCCCCACAGAACCTCTCAAGGGACATGGTCAAACGCCTTCTCCAGATCCACAGAACACAAGTAGATTGGTTGGGACCCTCCAGGATCCCCCTAAGGGTATCGAGCTGGTCCAGTGTTCCATGGCTCGGACAAAAATCACATTGCTCCTCTTGAATCCGAGGTTTGACAACCTGATGGACCCTCCTCTCCACAAACCCTGATTAGACCTTACCAATGAGGTTCAAGAGTGTGATCACCCTGTAGTTCAAACACACCCTGTGGTCCCACTTTTTACATAGGGAGACCACAACCCTGGTCTGCCAGTCCACTGGAACTGCCACAAATGTCTACGCAATACTGCAGAGCCACCACAACCAACACAGCCCCACAACATCCAGAGCCTTAAGGACCTCTGGGCAAATCTAATCCACCTCTGGGGCCTTGCCACCAAGGAGCTTTTAGATCACCTCAGTGATCTCGACACCAAAGACTGGGGAGCCCAACTCAAAGTCCCCCGACTCTGCTTCCTCACAGGATGATATGCCAGTGGGATTGTGTACTCTGCCCACATATGCAGTACGTCTGGAGTCGAGGACCGCAGCACACCGCCCCACTATAAACAGTGATGGTTGTGCACTGCTTCCCCTCCTGAGGCACTGGATGGTGGACCAGAATCCGCTCGGAGACAAACAGACGGCTTGCTCTATGCTATTCAAATAAACTGAACTGAACTGAACTGAACTGAATCCCTAACCGATGGTGTCCACCAGTGGGTTCGGAGGTTACTGCAGTAGCTCCGGACCGCCGCCTCAGCTATGGAAGCATGGAACAAGGCCCACTGGGGAATCAATGTCCCCGACATCCCCTGGGAAGTGTTCAAAGTTCTGTTGGAGGTAGAAATTGAAGCTCCTTTTGACAGAAGACTCCACCAGACATTCCCAGCAGACACTCACAATACGTTTGGGCCTGCCAGGTGTGTCCGGCATCGTCCCCCGCCACGGAAGCCACCTCACCACCAGGTAGTGGTCAGTTACAACTTTGCCCCCTTTTCACCCAAGTGTCCAAGTCATGCGGCTGCAGATCAGATGAGACAAAGTCGGTCATCAAGCTGCGGCCTAAGGCATCCTGGTGCCAAGAACACATCTGGACACCTTTATGCCCAAGCATGGTGATAATTATGAACAATCCATGAAGAGCACAGTAGTCCAATAACAAAACCTGGCTCGGATTCAGATCAAGGGGCCTTTCTTCCAATCCACACCTATCCAGGTCTCACTCTTGTTGCCCACGTGAGTGTTGAAGCCTCTTAGAAGAACACTCTTGGTTCTGATTCTAAAACTTTGGAGGTTGATTTAGGTCTGCTGCATTTTTAAGCTTCTCTGTTTGGACCTGAGGGCTCTTACCTTGAATCGGGTGCTGCAGCGCTCCACCAGCAGCAGCTGAAGGTCTTCTCTGGCTTTTGGGTCTTCGTGGGTCCTCAGGGCCTCGTGGATCCAGTGAGACAGTTTTCCTCGACCCGCTCCAAACTCCACGAAGCAGCGTTGCCCGTAGAGCAGATTCAGCTCCTCCAGGTGACCTAAGATAGAGGCCTAACAACACTTGGCAGGTGAGATGGGATGACCACCATCTTGGTATCCTCACCATCTGTCTCTGGGAAAGAGGCTAGGAACTGGCTGAATCCACTCGGTTACCTGCTGCTTTAGGTGTTTGTGGGCAGACTCTCCATTCTTTGGGTTGATGAGCTGGTCCTGGAGGACAGAATGAGACAGAATTCTGTCCTCCACCTCAGACTCCAGTCCTACGAGATAATTCAGTACAATCAGAATAGGGTTGGGCAACAAGTCAGTTGCATCAATTAATTCCTATTTTCATTTGGAGGAAAATCTGTTCCTTTGATCCCTACAACATGTTCAAGTCTTTCTAAAAGAACATTGTGATCAACTGTGTCAAAGGCAGCACTGAGATCTAACAAGACTAGAACAGACACAAGATTCTTAACTGAGGCCATGAGAATATCATTTGTAACTCTCACTAATGCAGTTTCAGTGCTGTGATACTCTCTAAAACCAGACTGAAATTCCTCAAACAGAGCATTAGTGTTTAAATGCTGACATACTTGGATGGCCACTATTTTCTCCAGGACTTTGGATAAAAATGGAAGGTTAGATATTGGTCTGTAATTCATTGGGTCATCTGGATCCAGAGAAGGCTTCTTAAGTGAAGGTTTGATTACAGCACCCGTAAAATCTTGTGGTACATACCCATTTACTAAGGATAGATTATATCTAGAATGGGGATAGCAACCAAAGGATTGGGGGGCGGGGGATACCGTCGAGCATTTAAAAAGTGAAATCCAGTAGGAAACACAGGCTGATAGATGGTTTAGCCTTCATCGCCTCTGCCCAAGCCAACCATTTCTCTCTGGTGCGGCTGTCTGCACTGGCTGCCTCTCCTGGACATCCGGGCCAGTCCCAGAAGACCGCACTGCCCTGGCTTGATTCAAATGGTGGTGGGTCTGCGTCTGGTGTTCAGGCCAACATGAACCGGTTGAGAGTAAATCCTTATGTCCCAAGGATGCCGGCGGGTGTGCAGGGTTGTGCTGCGCGGGTGGTTCCACGCCCAGGGTGACAGCTTCTGACTGCACTGATGAGTGGAAACCTATCAGGGCCAGGCTGAAGGCTCCCATCAACAGTTCTACTCCAACCCATGTCGCTTCTGGGTTCCCCCGCTCTGGTGATCCCAGGTGCAAAAACGAGCTCTGATGGGACTGAACTACAGGCTCTTAATCTCCAACTGTTTTGCGGTATTATCAGAGACGGCTGAACTGGACCCCACCATCAATTCCAACTTTATATCACTGAAGGTGATTTTTGTTCCTTCTGACCAAACCACGTCACACGTGCCACAGCATCTGACCTCTTCCCCCCGACCACTGTCCCTATCCCTAACCCAACCACCGTCGTTATTAGTGACTCGATCGACACAGTCAGTCATTCATCCATTCACTCGCTGGTGGGGATGAGCTACCATGTAGCCACAGCTGCCCTGGGGCGCACTGACAGAGGCGAGGCTGCTGAGCACAGGCGCCACCGGTCCCTCTGACCACCACCAGCAGGCAAGGCGGGTTAAGTGTCTTGCCCAAGGACACAACAGCGGGGCTTGAACCTGTAACCTTCCAATTACGGGGCAAGCACTTAACTGCTGTGCCACCGTCGCCCCATGATATGCCTCCTGTATGCTCATCACCTACTTACAGGAATAGACCTTGTGTCTGTAATCCAGATAAAGAAACAAGAGGTCAAAGGTTACAACCCTACATGACTGCCTAGGTGTACACATGAACCTTTGTTATTGCTGCTCTTCTAATGAATCCCTCAAGTGTTGTTGCTGCGGTAACGAGTGACTCTCCCCACTGTGGGATCGATAAAGTCTTTTCTGTTCTCTTCCATTAGCCACATGTTCTTCCACGCCCTCCCTACTAAAGCACTGAGCTGCTCACCGTGAGCTCTATGGTCAAATCGTTCCTTTAAAGGACTTTTCTAGAAAGAAAGAAAACAGTCTTATACAGCGCCTCGCAAGATAAAAATCATGAGGCACGTCACAAAAACAACAAACAAATTAAAGTATACAAAGATTTTTTAAAAATTATTAAAATGAAATAAAATAAAAACTGTGATTAAAAATAATGTAAGAAAAGGGAGAGAAAATGAACAGGAAAGAGGGAAATCAGCGGATGACAGCAGAATAAGGAGAGGGAGGTGGAGGTCCCGCCAAACCCTGAACAGGTGATTAAAGGAGACCTCTGAGTCCACTGATCTCAGGCTCAGGGGGAGAGAGGTCCAGAGTCTGGGGGCCACAGCAGCAGATGACCTGTCACCTCTGACCTTTAGCCTGGCGCTGCTGTTTGTCGCTACAGAAGCACATTTATTAACTAGAAGCCGCCATCTTAAAAAACCAAAGGACAAATGATTTGTGTGATGTGCTTGTCGGCCACTCGATGGCGCCATCGGGTAAGAGACGTACTCCAGAAAGAAACTAAGTGCTGCCTGGAGTCTGCGGTTGTCTCAGTCTCATTGTAGGAGCTGTACTGCAACACAAACTCAACAGCTCAGTCCTAACCGGGACATTACGAACATTGACTGAGTGCTAAACGTTTGGGAGGCTGCGAGCACCAGCAGGCTCTCCGAGGGGACGGTAGCAGCCTGCGGTTAACCCCACGTAACCCTAACCCTAACCCTAACTCACCTTCAACAGCTGCCTTCAGTTTGTCCACCAGAGCTTCCAGCTCTGCTTTGCTGTGCTCAGACAGGGTCACCTGGAACACCATCACATTATTATCTTCATCACGATCAGCATCTTCAGCCACCTGCAGCAGGTGAGCTCCTACCTGTGGAAGCTCCTGGTCTTCAAGCACTGGTCCTGCATTGATGTTCTCCACATAATAAACCTGAAACAGCCAATGAGTGAGTGAATGTGATGGCTTTAGGGGCTGACCCTAAATGATGAATGAAGGGAGCTCACAGGTTTGGGTTTCTCTCTGGAGTTGCATCTCTTCAGGTGTTTCTCCAGCTTGTCTTTGGTCACTGTGCTGAAACAGAAAGAGGCTAACAGCTGTAACGTGACGACGGAGCTATTCCACCGAAGGTTATTACCCTCTCCTCAGATGCCTCTGACACAGAACTAGTCTGCATGAGACTGCCTCAACGTCATGCATCTGCTTCTAAACGGCTTCCTTTCCAGCCCAAGAGAAGAATGAAGACAAAGAACTCTGTTTTTAATAAAGCTAATCAAACAACGTGTTAGTCAATAATAAGATCTGTGTGACCAATCTGTGAAATGACAATGTCATGATTAGTAAGTTTAATAAGTAATATGGCTTTAATCTAGCTGCACTAGACACCCTGATCACACGTAATGTAAAAGCATGACACATTGCTTTTACTCATCCAATCAGAACCTTCCTTTCTGAAGCGTGGCATAGTCTCTGTGGTGTTTATAAATCTGCCAACTTTGATTCGACCGTAAATCAAAACATCCAGATTAATAAAACCAGTCCCCACGCCATCTTAGTTCAGTTCACCGCGTGCTAACAGAAGTATCGGACCGGCCACCCGGACTTCCTTTTAAGCAAAGAACCAACAAGCTGATAAAATCTGTTGCGCTTTACCAACCAAGCAACGGTTCCCTTCAGAATAAAAGCTGAACTCACTGACCCTCTGGGTCCATCTGACGCTGTCAACCAACTGTCGCTTTTTACCTGGAGACAATCCAAAGACTAGTCTGTCGTACTGCTGACGCTGTTTCATCGGCTCCGGTACCGAAAGGGGGGTCCGAGGACCTGGCAGTCTGGATCGGTACGGAGGTCTCGTCCTGAAGGGTATGTGTGGAGCAACAACATGGCGTCTCGTGTGTTTATGAAACTCCGATCATAACTTAAGAGCAAAACATCACTTCATCATTCAGACTTGCTTCTCCGGATACGAGAGTTCTGATGACAACATCACTCACACACACACCATCCATCTCACGTCTCCTTCACACCAGATCCATTCATCACTTAGAGTTTAGAGTTAGTCTTGTTTAAAATTGTTTAGGATTAAATCTTCTTAAACGTTTTAAAGGCAACTCTCTCTTCTCTTGTCTCTCAGTTAATACGAGTGTTACATAATCCCTGCAATAAAAAGTTCCAATCTTCATGTTAAAATTACCCAACGGTCCACAAGGTTGATTTCATATTTCCTATGGAATCTCATGTCTCATGGTTCATTAAATAGATGTAAGTTAAACCCTTTCACAGCAGTTACTCATCCAGTATTGGACCTGACACCAGCCCAGCACACAGCGCCCCATCAGGACCAGAGTCATCGCAAGGACCTTCACACAATAAACACTCCAGTACAGGTCAGGTCATTGAGCCAATCAGTAAAAACTTTGCTATGTCAGGGTTGTTCCTGGCTCAGACTGAGGCAGAGGTGGTACCATCCTGACCGTGCGCCAGCACATGCGTACTCTGTACATTCACCTGCCTCACTTGTTTAAAGGCCAAATATGTTATCGTTAAGTGTTCTAATCTAAGCTTCTGTTGATTAATAGAATATTTCATTTGACAATGTTTCAAGTGGAACAAAACTGGTTTGCTGCTAAAAAATATGAAATAAAACAACAAAATTATCAGGCTGAATAACAGACTCTTATTGTGAAAGGCTCAATAATATGCATCAGATTGGTGTTTAGTTCCTTTTTCCATCTGATATTTATAGTTAAAATATTTGTATATATTTGACCTACATGTCAGTAACATTTTAGGTTTGTATTAATAACGCTCATCTTAGTCTAAATGACACATAAATATATGCAGTAAAATATAATGCATTTCATTAACATGCATTTGTGTTGGAAATGCTAATAACATTTAATTTCTGCTGCTAGCAATGTAATGGTGGCATGTCTGTTATGTACGGGTTGCAATAATCCAGTTCAAATTATGTTCAAAGATAGAAGCGTTTGTGAATTATATAGTACAATGGCTTGCCGTAGCCTTGTAGCAGTCATGTGACCCGTATCTGCAGCGGTTCTGATCCGTAGCGCTGCAGGATGCAGAATAAACAGGATGGTGGGGACTTTTTATCCGCTTGTAGAGTTTAGTCTTTCTTGGTTTCACCATCATCATCATCATCATCATCATATATTTTTCTGTGCGCCAGTTGATCGTGAGACTGCTACCCGTTAGCATTAGCATTAGCCAGTCTGCGTGTAGCTGCACTTTTGATCCCAGACTTTGGACCGGTCCTGTCTTTGTGCCTTTGCTGGTTCCTTTATTTTCCTCCACTGCATCCAGATGACCGCACTGTGCACCAGTAAAAAGCATTTTCTTACACGTAACTTCCTTTTGTTCAATAAAGTTCTGGGGAAAATAGTAATTCAAAGATGTTGCACCAGTGCTACGTTTAAAATAGACAGACACGCACAGACAGGTACAGCCCTGCTCCGATATGGAAGAGCCTGGGGGAAAATCAGGACGTTAATAGCACCAACCATAGATATGTACCACCTAGCGAGAAAAGCTATTTTTGATCTTTGTCTGCAGCGGTTTTAGCGCTTTTCAGTGCACCGCTGCTGATACAGCGCCCTGTAGTGGTGCAAGGCTGCAACTACAGTTAAAATAACATCCATATAGCTGGGGGCTGAGTGAAATCAAGCTGGGGCGGCACAACATTAGCTGGAGGCGGCCGCCACGCTCATTTGAACGCAGGAAATACCTGTATATAAGAAACCCAGCAGGTCGCATCGAGTCACTGACTAGTGTCAGAGTCTTTACAGCAATCCTCATAATAAGCAAGCATGCAGCGACAGTGGAGAGGAAAACTCCCTTTTAACAGGAAGAAACCTCCAGAGGAAGCAGCCATCCACCATGACACACACACACACACACACACTAGTAGCACATATCATGTTACAGTAAGTTAAACGTAATCAGGAGAAGGAGAACGTCCAGTGGGTGGCAGCAGCGCTGCAGCCGCCCGTCCAGGAGCCTACCACAGCTCATCTGGATCTGCTGCACGCTTAGTTTAATGTTATCATATATTTTACCTACACTTGTACTGCCAGTGTACCCATCAGGGTGGGTGCTAACTGAGCAGGTCATTGCTCATGTAAACACGTTTGTCACCATGCAGAAAACAATAAAGCGCTGAATCTTGACTCACTGTTTGGGGTCCAGAGGACAGGTGATCCTCCTGCTGCTGCCTCCCTCCTCCTGAAACAGAAGACACATCACAGCTGATCAGACGTTCTGGATGAGGCCCGCGCTGTGTTTAAAACTCTACTTTAAATCTTACATATTTGCTTGATTGTTTTGTGCAAAGTGAATCAAAGACGAGGGTGTAGTGTTGCGAGTTCTGCATGCTCACACATTCAACAGCGAGTTATTAATAACGTTATGAGACCAAACGTAATCAAATCGACCTCGTGGTTACAGAAATACTCATCAAGTGTGAGTACGCCATTTTCCTGCAGATATTCTTTATAATAAATGTTGTTAGCTGTAGGGGTGCTGGTGTTCTTTGGTAGGGTTGACTTGTATTACTAGTGTTATGCATTGTTGAAGCATGGGGGGGCCGCCAATCGTAAAACCCCTCCATCTGTAGCGGTTTTAGGCACGGGCAGACAGCGCAGTTGCCCGGGGCGGCATTATTTCATGACACAAAAGGGGCGCACGAGCGCTGAGTAAAAAATAAAAAAGAAATCTGCGCCGCACCGAGGTTTTCTATTATCTGTCATATGACAGCGTCTGGATTGGAGACAGCAAGTTGGCGCCCCCTGCAGCTGCAGGCGCTCCTGCTGACTGAGAACGTTCACGTGCTCCGTGTGAGTATGAAGAACAGGAAGGGGAGGGGTGCGGCGGGGGAATTCACCTCTGCGTCTTTCCCAAATGAAATGAGCGTGCAGGGGCTGAATCACCTGTATTAACATGGCTAAAGCCAATCACATCTTAACGTTCTTCCATATTTCATTCATAATATCATAAACACAGGCCTATCATTCTTTCAGGTTTCTCTGAATTGTGTGAAATGGCCGAATAAAAAAAGGAAAAACAAAACGATTTTGTGCCCCCCCCCCCATCAAGGTCAAATAGTTCAGTCCTGACTAAAGGAAACTTATCGAGTCAAGAGCCAAACAGAAGAGACGAACATAAAAAGGCTAAAACCACCAGGTGCCCGATTCAGGAATAAAAAGAAAAAAGAGGAGAAAGATAAAGGTATGTACGCTCTCATGATGCATGTTTTACATTTTTGAACCAGTTAACTGGGATTTTAACGGTTAAATGCGGTCAGCTAGTCGCTAACAGAGCTAATAGGGCTGAAATATTGAAACGAATATTCAAATGGTCCGAAAAATTCCTTGAATCGTTTTTTACTGATTCAAACTAGGATTTGTTAAATGCTCACTGCAGCCTGTGGCCTGCCTGAACAACAAACACATGTTGATCATGTTTACATAATAATAAATAAAACAACTCTACAAGCAGAATGTTACGCCCCCTCTGAAGGTCTAGGATGATGAGGGGACTAACAGGTGTAAGTGTGTGAGTGGATAAAGGACGAGGAGGTTAGAAAAAAACAAAAGGATTTATTAACAAAAAGTGTCCGCTGTCTGAACGGCAAAGAAGGCTTAACAGTAGTGGTGCAAAATAAGGTGGAAACTGAAAACCTAAGCAGACTAACTGCTTATGATAAAGGCTCTCCGCCTAACTTAACTTAACCATCAAAATGAAAATATCCCCGGCTCAGAAGTCCAAATGGGGATAACAACCACCAACATAAGAAAACTGACGTCTTGTCAGATAACTCCTACTAAGGAGGACAATTAAGCCAAAACTAGAACTCGGGAGAATCTCAGATAAATTCTGGATCTCTAGCAACAACCTTTAACCCAAACGGTAGCGCTGTAATCAGGAGTGTCAAAGAGTGAGGGAGGATCTCCGGCTAATCCAGGATCTCCCCGACGTCTGTTGCGTTCCTCCTTTTAAGCCTGTTGGCCGCTTGATAGCTGATGAAGATCAGCTGCTGTCTCTGCCGGGGTGCCTCTCTCCGAGGTCCTGAAAGGGCGCTGGAAGGTGTGAGCAGGCCGCTCCTGGCGCTGTCCCTGGTGCTGGATCCTTTGCAGCGGGGACAAAAGGCTCAGGTTGGGATGAGAGGACGGACTGAGGGCACGAAGGTCGTCACACAGAAGAAAACACCCCAGTCACCACTTAACTATCCTGTTTATTTATTGCAGATGGCTGCACTGATTATTTTTTACCTGGTTTGTTCTGTAAAAGTTGGCATTTTTGGTAGTCTACAGTTTTTTTTATGTCAGTTTAAATTACAATTTCAGAGGCAATTCTAAAATATTATGGATCATGATAAAGATCTATTGGAGATCTACCCCAACTTTTGGACTGCTCTGCCAGTCACTGTGGCTCCAGCTGAGAGGAGCTTTTCAAAACTTGATCAAGTCATACCTGAGGTCACCTATGTTTCAGGGGCGGCTCACTAACCTGGCTCTGATTAGTATCAATCACTCAGTAGGGGAGCAGATTTCATATGACGACATTATTGATGACGTTGCATCAAGGTTAGGTTTTAAGTTTAATTTGTGTTTTCTGTTCTAAGTGCAATGCTGTAGTGATTATCTTTAGATTGTTATGTGTGAAATATTTTAGCTATTTAGAAAATTTATTATCTATTATGTTCATATATTCTTAATATTTAGTTATTGTTTGTTTTTGTATATTTGATTCTATATATTTTGATGCAGTATATAATGTATATTGCTTTACATTCTGACAACTTCATAGTAATTAATGTAAATATGTGCAACTTAGAAAAATGAATGTTCAATAGTCGTTCTAATAAAACATGCCTGTTTGTAGAAAACATGCATGTGTTCGTGCAGGTGGCGTGGTTGGGGGGGGGGGCGGGGGCGCTCGAAGGGGGCCTCGCCCGGGGAGTAATTCCATGTAGAACCGCCACTGCCCTCCATCATTGATAGTAATGCAAAATAAAAAACACCCTGTTATATTTGTCCCAACTATTTTATGCAACAACACCCAGTGTTCCCCTAGGAATTTTTCCAGCTGTGGTGGTGGTGGTGGTGGTGGTGGTGTGGGGGGGTGGGGGGGGATTATGACACGTCTCACCTTCATATTAATATTGTTTTATTAGACGCACTCCACTCTGAACTGCACCAATCCAGCAACTGCTGCATCTTAATCACTAGTATTAAAGGTGAATACACCAATATTTGCACAAGAATAATTTCTGTTTTAAACTCTCAGTGACACACTTTGCAGGGGGGTGGGGGGGGGGGGGGGGGTGGCATTTAATTTTTCTTGGCGTCTGGAGAAACATCTCCTTCTGCCCCCTGTGTTTTGGTCCAAGACCATTAGTGGGCTGGCCCTGTTAAACACCTTCTACACCCCTGCTTAGTAGACTTAATGAAGTATTTTTAAGCCAGTATAAAAATGACTGAAACACAAATGTACATATTTGGCATTACTGACCAATATCTTTGATTTAAATTATTGTTAAGAACATCAAGATGCATTACAGTGAACATTATACTAAAGTACATGTTTCTAGTGCAGAGAGGAGACGACCCATAGAAGCACTGATCTGACCTCATTTCAGAGAAAACTAGAACAGGTCAGATGCACCTAATAAATAAAATTACTAACATAAACTCAGGAATCTGTTTCTTTGCTTCATTGTTCTGGTGCTGATAGGGATGGGTACCGAATTCGGTACTTTTTAAGGTACCGACCGAATTCCACAGTACCGACTGAGCACCGATTCACTTCATTTCAAACGGTGCCTCGTTTCGGTACCGGTCCTTCATAACGAGAACTTGCCTAGACAGCTGCGCATGTGCAAGAGCGTTATGTCGCCGGTCGCTGCGAGCGAGTTGTAAACAGAGCAGCATGGTAGAAAGAACTCACGCTAACGCTTGGGTCCACTTCACTAAATGTGATGGGTAACTGGGTGAAGATGAAACCAGCGACAACGATCTAAGTGTGAGGCATCATCGTTATAATCTGCTCCAGAAGCTAAATAAACTGTTTAAGATAACATTAGCTTGATATGTTAGCTTCCATTGCCGCCATTGTTATCATCTAATGGTGCGTTCAGTTTCTCCTCGGAAATTCTAACTTCCCAGTAGGAAAAATCAAATGAAAAAAGACGGTAAAAGGAATGAAGATTCACAGTAAATTTAGTTCACAGTAAAGATGTTTGCTTCAGTTTAATTATCAGCTTATAAAACTACAAGGACGATGTTAAAATGCAAACAGTTGAATGTTATTTATCGTGATATTTATCAAATATTGTTATATATTGAGAAAAATATATATTTAATTATAAAAGAGAAATAAAATAATAAACACTCAAAAGTATCGAAAAGTACCGGTATCGATTCCTAGGTACCGGGAATTAGTACTGAATCTATTCAAATGTCAAAGGTACCCATCCCTAGGTGCTGAAAACATCACTCATGCGGATCAAAGATACACAGATGAATGCACCTTATTTGGAAATGAGTGGGTGTGGTTTACATCAGTACATTATTTTAAATCTGAAATTGATATGGACTGATCAGAAGTTGCTATGTGTGTTGTTTTAATTTGATTAAACTGATTTTTTCTTAACGTTGTTGGCATTTTTCCCCAAACACAGTTAAACAGAACTGTGTGTGTGTGTGTGTGTGTGTGTGTGTGTGTGTGTGTGTGTGTGTGTGTGTGTGTGTGTGTGTGTGTGTGTGTGTGTGTGTGTGTGTGTGTGAGTGAGTGTGTGAGTGAGTGAGTGAGTGAAAATAATTTTAAAAAATACCGGAGCGGAGGCAGTGACCGACACATGCACGAGCCGTTTCCAGCTCCGTCTCGTCAAATGCAGCACGTACGTTACGACAAAAGTAACTTTAAATATTCAACTGAAAAAGAGGCGAGCTGAAGAAAACCTAGGGAGTACCGAAGAAACGTGAGCAACAGTGAAGCAAGCACAGAGAGACCCGTTACTGTGTGCGTGTGTGTGTGTGTGTGTGTGTGTGTGTGTGTGTGTGTGTGCGTGGGGCGGATCAGTTTTGTGTGTAGGGAGGGGCGGGCGCTCCATGTGACTGGCCAATCACGGAGCGTGAAGGCAGTCAGTTACCCAATGAGGATTTTCCTTCAGCACGATTACAGTTTACATCATAGCATACCTCTTAGCCAATAGCGGTGGCAGA